TAATAATAATATATTTATAATTAAATAAACTAAGTAAAATGAAATTAGTATAAAAAGAAAAGACAAAAGCACAAAAAAGAAACAAAAAGAAAATGATTACATAGGGGGGTAGGGTTGGCATTAGCAAATGATAGGGGTGCCATTAGCCTCCTCTTTAAGAATTGCGTATTCTATGTTTCTTGCATTGAAGTTGAGTTTTGTATATTATATATTGATGGAGAGATAAAAGATTCACAATTGATGGTAGATATATGAGAGGAGTTTGAGGTATCTTTGTTATAAGTCATGGGGTTGAATTCTCTTTATTAATCCTATAAACTCATATTGTTAGCTTATGTTGGCCGATTGTCTAAACATACGTAATTGGATCATTTTGATTGAGCTTCTAAACATATGGGGTTGGCTCATTTGCCCAACCCTTTTCTGCGAAAAAGTTAATCTATACAATTAAAAAGATTAATTGAAGAGATAATTTTTATAGGTTTTTGAAAGTATTCTTCAATTTTGAATATGATTAAGTTTTGTATATCCTACACTACACTGGTTAGGATTGGAAGATTGTAAAAAAATGGTGGGTATGTGAAACAAGGTTGAGAGATGCCTTTGAGACAACTCATGAGGTTGGCTCCTCTTGGTTGATGTTCTAAACATTTGTGGTCAGATTATTTTGGTCGACCCTCCGAACACATGGGAATGGTTCATTTTGGCCAACCCTCTTTTTGCAAGAAAGTTAATTGATATTAAAATATAAATTATATATAATCTTTATTCTTTCTATATTTAAAAGTAAGAATCACAATCATCAATGTGACACCCTAATAATTAAGTATTCTTTAATCTTGAATTGTGATTGAGTTTTGTTTATCCTACATTGATGGATAAATAAAAGATTGACAAAGAATGATGGATATATAAAAAACGATTGAGATGCCACCCTAACAGTTCATGGGGCTACCTCTTGATAGATCCTCTAAACTCGGGGTTTTAGCTTATTTGGCCAACCCTTCTAACATATGATTTTTGGCCAACCCTCTTTTTGCCACAAAAAAAATCTATATTAAAAGTTCAATTAATAAATTAAATGAATGTTATAAGGTATTGACATGACAAATTAGAATTTAGTATTTTCAAAACCTGAATTATGGTTGAATTTGGCTCAAGTCTTAAATGTATATTAATGAGGAACAAAATTATTGAATGATAGTTAAATATATGAAACAGAATGGATGCCTTAAAATATTGGAAAGAGTATTATTGACAATGCATTATGAAAATTTAGTATTTTCAAATTTGTAGTTATCATAGGGTTATTGACGTCTCGTCATAATTTTTTTATATATTACTTGATATGGGTTGTGCGATGCTGATCACTAGTTAAATATTAACTTGACAAACGTGACAAAGTTATTGTTTCTATTAGAAGTTCCTATTAGGGCTGTTTACTAAACACTTACCTGATAAGTGCTTATCGGGTAATTTTTCTTACTAGATGAACATGACACGGTCAAAAATCTTACCCGGTAAAAATAATGATAAAGATGGAGAGTCTTACCCGGTAATCTTCTAGTCCAAGACCCCAACTAGTTTCCGTAGTCCAATACTTTGGTTTGTATTTTAATGTAATCCACACAATTTCAAAGAAGTCAAAACAACAAAAACCTCTAGTTCCTCATGGTTTCCCACTCACCTCTCCTCTAGCTTTTGTTTTTTGAAATTGTAACAATATGAATAAACTAATTGTTAAGAGACCGTTTACTAAACGCTCACCCGGTAGGTGTTTATCGGGTAATTTTTCTCACTGGACGAACATGACAAAACCCAAGAATCTTACATGGTAAGAGCATGATAAGGATAGAAAGTCTTACCCGGTAAGTGAAGGTGACGACTCTTACCCGGGTAAGCGCTTACCATATATATTGTTGCATACGATACCATTTTGATATACTACAATCTTACCTAGAAAATAAATTATAGTGTTGACTCCTAACGGTAAGCGCTTACCGGGTAAGCATTTAAGTAAACAGCCCCTAAAATAACACCGAAGTTGGAGTGGTCGAAACCGTCGTCAATGGATGATGTCATTTTAATTAGTGTTATAATTCTAATCTGAATCATGCCACTTATTTTACACGATTGGATATAAACTCAAGTGACTATAATATTCTTTGTGTGGTCAAGTACCAACAAGTAATCACTAATTAACTTGTTAAAAAAAGCTTGAAATAATAAAAGAAAACCATATGAACTTATACAAAGTAAATGCTATAACTATTTAGGGACTGTTTACTAAACACTTACCCAGTAAGCGTTTAACGGTAAATTTAACACTATCATTTATTTACCAGGTAAGATTTTAGTCCATCAAAACAATATCCTATGCAACAATTTATCCGGTAAGTGCTTACCGTGGTAAGAGTCGTCGCCCTCACTTATCGGGTAAGACTTTTGGTCTTTGTCTCGCTCTTAACGGGTAAGATTTTTGGTTCTTACCATATTTATCCGATAAGGTAATTAAACTTGGTGTTCACTTACCCGAATAAGCGTTTGATAAACAGCCCCTCAGTCGTTTCATAGATTTTGAATTTATGAATATTATGTCCAAAGGATTAAGCGACCATAATAATTAAAAGACTATACAATTTAGCGCAAAGTGAAAAAAATGGTGTATATATTGTAAAACTGTAACCACTATACGTTACTGCAAACCCCTATGAATGGGTGATTATGGTTATTCTGTTTGAAATTTGAGGACAATTCACAATTACCAAAYAACCCCATTTAACGGAATCAAACTGAGACATCCGAATCATGCATGCCATTAGATGTTAGCCCTATTATTCATTGAAATAGCATAAACATGAATATTTTTGGCACTGTGGTTTTGCATCGAAGCAGATACTTATGACATATACGACATAGAATTGATTCATGGTTATTTTGTGTGAATTTCAGGACAACTCACAATTACCAAACAACCCCATTTGACGGTTGAAATTGCTTAAACATGATTTTTTTTTTTGCCAATTTGGTGGTTTTGCATGCATGGAAGCAGACAATTATGACATATACGACATAGAATTAAATCATATCATGCAACAATAGTTTAACATTTTGATATCCGTTAAGGAAAAAAAAACTACACAAACATTCACGTCTCTAAACTACATATATAAATATAAATATGCAACATTGTCTTAAGAAAAAGATAAACACAAACTACATATATACAACAAAAATGTTGCAAATTTTTTATGGTATGCCAAGCATGTTAGAGAAAATCCAAGCTTGATCAAATCAACATGAAACTATTGTTAGTGGCAAATCTTTGCTTGCACAACCAATAACTTCAACTTGATTTTTGGCATTGTGTGTTTCCACAAATGTAGTGATGATTGAAAAGTCTTGATCCTTGCTAACCAAATCGACTGTATAGTTCACTGACCGATTAAGGTCCATACTCGGCATCATTTATTCTTGTTCTTACATCCTACGCCTGAATAAAATTGTGTAACAACCCTAGAATTGCATAATAGAATTTTCACCGATGCTTGCATTTTATGGTTGTAACATCCTAAATTTTGTTTAATGAAAGAATAATAGGAAGACAACGTAAATTTTCATATACTAATAGTGTGTGTGTGTGTATATATATATATATATATATATATATATGTGATACAACTTGAATAGAGGCAAACTGAGTGTTCGGATTTGTTGCAAATATTGTTACCTGAACTCGTAATAATCAATTTTTATTTTGATTTTGATTTCTTGAAATCAAAATAATATGATTTGAAGTAGGCAAAAAGATTACTTGAAGAAACTTTAATAAAAAAAAGTTATCTGATTATGATTTTTGAAACCCTAATAATCATTTTGAAAACTTACGTCCAAACATGCGCCTTCTAATTTTCAAGCCTACTGGTTTAAATGTTTGCTTTATCATAGAAAGTAGAAACAAAAATTAGAAAATTTGGTAAATAATTTTTCCTTGATTCTTGAAACCTGACAAAAATGTTTGTTACATAATTCTAAGTTGATCAATATGATTTATAAATACTAAAATCGTGGTTTAGTTTATCCAATAATTGTCACAAAAGTCAACAAATCCATAGTGACACCACCCTCAGATGCACCCTCACAATTTTTCAGTCCCATGATCATCATGGAGGAGGTAAATCACATGTCGAATGTGTAGAGGTGGGTGGTGCCTGATCAAACCAAACTCATTCTATAAGGCCGGGTCCTTACCCACTAGGCTAAAGCCAAGGGTACATGAGGTTGTCTTTGTATGCTTGAATGCTTCTAACTCTTTAGGCAAGGAATAGTTCGCATTGCCGACATCATTTGGTACTTGAAATACCTCCAAACCCTACGTTGATGAGAGTTAGGACCATGCATGTGTCGTTAATTTGTCATGTCAAAGTTGTTGAACTTGAATTTGATCGAAAAAGAATGTTGTTTGGTACTTGAAGTATGAGAGCTCGAGGACCACATGTCATTTGTAATGTCCAATCTTTCAACTCGATCGCACATGATACTGCTGTAATTAACGTTGCTCATAACCAACGTAATTCAAACTGTATATGGGATTCTTCTTCTTTGAGCTGTTTTTCCGGCCTTAAGCTCATCCATAAATATGATGTTGTTCAACATGTTACGGACCTCATTCTCTTTTTTATTGTTGGAAAGAGGACGACACCTCTAACAAATTTTATAACCAGTTGAAAAAAAAATACATCTAAGCAGCGTGGGACTCCCATCCACAAGCAAGTCCATCTAAACGGGACATTTAATTTCCCAAAGTATGCATTACAGTTTCATGCTTTTGCTCTCATAATTATCACTTTCGAGCTTCTCATCTTTGTTAAGCTCGGAAATAGTATTCTTCCAAGCAGTATACAGTAAAAAGTTGTGAGCATTATCTCACATATAACTAAACTATATAGCTTTGGTCGTGATTGACCATGTACGTCAACGAAACACATCAAAATCATAAACAGAAACCCATTGTGTTATTTTCCAATAATCATCTAAACAAGTGTGTTGATGTGAAACAAATTGAATACCCTATTTAACACATCAAACTTAATTAACCAAAATCCTACATAAAACTAAGAGGAGCACTTACTAGCTTAGGAGAAGTATTGAGCCAATAATCGTTTGGATGATTTAGCGCGCACTTCCGAGCCCAGATGGTTTGTTGGCCCTTGATGAACTTCGTGAGGGAAAGTCTCGCGATAAACTATATATAAGGACATGATTCCAAACTCATTCTGAATGTTTTCCCACGTCAATTCGGTAGTTAAGCCAATCGACCTTATTGCGCCTAGTGAGTGTAGTGACTAATTAAGCGATCGAGCATTTTATATGCGTTGAAACCTTTGAAAGTTATTTTGTTACCATATGCAACAAACCAAAAGCCACTGTTAATCACCCTAATCAATAAGCTTAAACGAAAACAGTTAACTAGCTAGGGCACATTCTTCAGTGTACTTCTTGGGTGTTATCCTACTCTCATATATATATATATATATTGCTTAATTTCTGAACTGAAATGGGATCAAAAACATGAATTTGAAATCCAGTGCTGAACACCAAGATTGATGATTCTACTATTTGAATTTCAGGAAGCTTAATGAATTGGTACTTTTACTTGCTTAGGAGGACTATACGAAAATGAAAGTTTAATGTAACACATGCTACTCATCAATGGTTTATTTATGACTTCAAGTTTAGTTCATGTCACTTTATAACACTTTAATTGTTACAAGTGTGATGTACATATATTTGACATCCTGATCAGTCATCGGATGTGAATCTAATTATAGCTAACACTTTTGACGCAAGTATATATCGAATCTGTACAAAAAAATGCCATCCCCATCAACCCTTTTATGCGTTTCAACTCTCAAGGACATCAAACCCATCAATACAAATAATCAATCTCTTGAACCTACTACTTCAACCTATATGATTTCTTGGTTTTAAATTTAATAGCATATATATATATATATATATATGTATATGTATATATCTGTAAATATACAAGTTCTAAACTATTTTGAATCTTATTCAGTTGAACTGAACTATATATATGTAATGAACCCCATTTTTGGCATTTAATTAGCAAGGATTCGACATCATTGACACCGTGTTCGGTGATTTGTTTCATATTATAAACGAATTAAAACACAAATACAAATCCAGATTACATGATCTTTTTCGTATTAATTTGCAAGAAAAAGGTGTTACGAAATGAAAGTTGACGTAGACACGCATTTAATATAAAACTATTCATGAATTCGAGTGAAAAAAAAATAAAGAAAGTAGGCACAACAATAAAATACTGACCCGCATGAGAAACATATACAAAAAGCAGAAAATTAATTCAAAAGTTAAAAAGAGATGATTTAAACCTAATTATTAAATGCAAACTGGTATCTGATATCAAATTGAAAGTTAGTTGAGGAAATCAATAAGAAAATTAAACAATGATAGAGAAAAGAAGGAAAGTAAAAGAGACGACCAAAAGAATTATGAACAATCAAGTGGTACTTACTTGGGTAGATTCGTAATTTCACATGGGATTGATTCGCCATTGCTAACGAGAACTTGAAAGCAAAAAACACAGTCTTGATGGGGTTTCTTCATGTGTGCTTTGTATGAAAAACTGTTGGGTACGAGTGATTGAAGCTGCAAGATGACCTGGTTAAGCTCTCTTTACCCTACTCATAAACACACACACACACACACACACACTAATAAACACCTCAAAAACGCGCAGAAAGATTAATTGACCTCACTTAATCCTTCCAATATATACACACACAAACACAAACACACACACACAGAGGTGACTTTTTGACAACACCAGATCATGCTGGCAGCTTCAATCTCTCAGACCAACATATATAAACACAAGTAATCATCAATTAAACAAGAAAGGTATAGAAACCCCAAAAGGGTGACCACCAAGCCTCCTAATGTGGAAGAAAAAGCTGTTTTCTTGGCTCCAACTATGACCTTCCGGCCTCAAAATAAAGTAAAGATTAAGGGCGTCGAGGAGAAGAGAAATAGAGAAGCTATTATGCTAGTTTTCGGTTCGAAAGAACCCCCTCTCTCTCTTTTATGAGGCTTATGCTCTCCCTTTGTAACAGTAGCATCATATATAGAAGAGATCTAAACAGTAATGAGGTTTTGTGCCTTTCTTCCAGCTATTCAAAGTTGACCTATTCATCTCTCTCTCTCTCTCCTCTCCCCCCCCCTCTCTCTCTCTAAACATACATACATACATACATGCATACATACATACATATTAAAGAAACAAGAAGCATATGACAGATTTTTGTATGAGCCATCTCTGTTAGTGTTTAAAATGATATGATAAAATAAGGGACCACAAATTCAGAGGTATCAATTTCTCAAACTAATTCCATATATGTATTTGTCTATCCTTTATGTCCCAATCTTTTCACAAATGAAGTTATGAATTCAATACATTTTTCTTTTTGAAAAATTCTTGATTTGGAACCATGAATCAGTATTCCACTTAATATATGGGATGTATGTACCATACACCCTACCCCTTCTTTTTCTTTCGGTTCGTAAAATATCACATCCGTACAAACATTATCGATCTATTACACGTGTATTAGTCGTATTGGTTACACCATTCGAAACGGAATTACCTTAACATATTCAATTGGCCCACAAAAGTTATAATATATATATGTATATATATATATATATGTATATATGATGTCGATGAAAAATGGAGGTAGGAATTGTCAAAGGGAAAAACGGATCCCAAGATGAGATAATAAAACTTTTTGCATGCTTCACTCTCCATCACATGGCCTATGTTCCAAACGTCTCTATAATTTCAGAGGTCTTAATTAAACTGTCGGGGCCTTCTTCATGATAATACAATCACAACTTGACATAATTGCACTTAGTGACAAATTCAATATTAATTGAATACATTATTCAATTTAAAATCCTATAAATCTCTTTTCTAATTCCTTAAAAGAACCTATTTTGTAGTTTGATTTATATACAAATAATATGGAATTACAAATTTGAATAAGCTTTTCGTTGTTCCATGTTTTTGTACTAAATTATTTAACGTTTATAAAATCCCCGTCACAAATATGTGATTTGAAATGTTACTAATGAAGCCACTCGATCGATGTTATGAAGAAAGTCATGAAATAAATATGGGGAAAACATGTGATTGTTTATATTTAAACGATATTAACAATAAATATGATACACGAATTTTTTGTAACAAAATTGAGCTTTAATTTGTTTATTAATATAAGTAAATTGCACATTATCCTTTGACTTATAAAAGATACAACTATAACTTAACACCTTTATTTTCGTGTACGTTGTTTTTTCAAGCATATAATATTTGCATATAACAAATATATATATATATATATATATATATATATATAATATGAGTTTGGTTCAAATACTAACCAATTTTTTTGTGTTAACTATGTTAACCAAACTCAACCAATCATATTCCATCTTTTCCTTTGGTTCAAATGTAACTCATATATTAAATACAAAGATATTTAAGTAATTTGTCATTTTATGTAACTCCCAATTAATTAATTGAAAGTTACAAATATGAAAATATCACAATTGATCATGATGCAATATTGACATTGGGGTTTCACACGTGTTCATGTTATATAATTTACATTTATTTTAATCAACAGTTCTTACTTTTGACATATGAACACATCCGAAATCACACAGCCTTAGATGTCGTGATTCATAAGTGTTCATGTATATTTAAGTCACTAGATGTTCATATGAATACATACACACACACACAAACACAGAACATGTGAAAGCATGTGAACACTTATGAAAACACACAGCCCTAGATGCCTTTAGTTAATGCTTGCAAAGCTAAGGTAATCAAATGGTCATTTGAACCTAGTGGTATCTAGATTAGTGGATAAATTCTTGCCTTCCTAAAGGATTAGAGTTCAAATGACCATTTGATTACCTTAGCTTTGCAAGCATTAACTAAAATCCGTCAAGTAAAAAGTCACTTTTGTACATGAATGCATGAGTCATATTGGGTACTCAGTAAATTAAGGATGTGTCTATTTAACTATATCTTAACTTGAATTTGGAGTAGGTATAAGGTCTTGAGAGTCTCTTCATGTCTTCTTTTTTTCTTCTTATTGGAGTTCTTTCACAAAAACTTACAATGGTAATGAAGAATGAGAGAACAAGCACACTTTGGAGAGTGGTAATTTGATCATTTATCTATTGGATTATGATATATTATATGTATAATTCTTTCATTGATGGAATAAATGTGATTATTTCATTTTGAGTAAATTACAGATTTTGTCCCTGTCGTTAGGTGAAAATTTGGTTGGGTCCCTTATGGTTTCATTTTGATTATGGTCACGTCCCTCATGTTAACAGTCATTTAAAATCTCAGTTAACTTAGAATCATTTTCATGCTTTCGTTGTGTTATGAAATTTGTAGTTATTTCAAGGACTTGTTTTTATCAATTTCTAAAACTAATAATAACAATACTAAAAAGAAAAAACACAAACAAATAATATACCCCCATACGCTGATATATGACATCTTCCCTAGTCCTTCAGCTCCGGCCCTCCCCATCTTCGATCACACTCCTTTTTCTGATCAAGCACTCGTCTTCAACCCTCTTCTGTTATCTGATCACACACTTTTCTCCTGTCACAAACCCATAACTTCTTCTAGTGAATCCATGGGTTGAAGAAATCGAAGGAATCATTCAAAAATCAAAGGAGTCTTTTAGAAATAGATGAAAATGCATTTGTTCCATCTTCTTCTCTACAATTTTTGGTCTTGATTAGGGTTTTGGCAATGATTCAATATTTTTTGATATGGTATGAATTTTAGGGGTTTTTTTTATTTAGGTTTAGGACTCGTAATGTTGTTGTGTTCTTATGGGTTATTAACAAATTTGATGTTGTTGATGAATTTGATAATTTTTTGTGTTCTTGATTTAATTATTTGGGTTGTGAAATATGGAAAACCAATGATATAAAATCCATATCTAAACAAATGGATTCAAATTAGGTTTTGTTGTTGATTTGTTCTTAAAAAACGGGGTTTATTTTTTTTATTTTCTTACGTAAAAAATGGGTTTGAGTTGTTTATTTTATTCTTCAGAAATGGGTTTGTATCGTTGATTGTGTTCTTCAAAAATGAGTTTGTTTGTTGATTTGTTTTTCATTTATTTTTTTTATAGGATTTGAATCTTTGTTTTTGTTTTATTTTGGTATGGTTTTTTGGTCTTACTTTTACTCATGGAAATCCGGGGAAGAATTATCATGCGGAAGAGACGAGAGAAAGGGTAAGTTTTTTGAGTTTCAGAAATTGGCAAAACAAACACTTGAAACAATTATAAGTTTCATGACATAACAAGAACATGAAAATGTCTTTAAATTAACACAGATCTTAAAAGACTGTTAATATGAGAGACCTGATTCATAACAAAAACAAAACTATAATGACCATCCTTGTAATTATTTTATTTAAGGAAACCAATCCATATTTTCATCAAACCACAGGGTTGAAATTTGTAATTTAAACTCTTATGTTTTAAAATCTATTTTCTTTTCATATTATTTTTAGGGTTTCCCCCTTAAGTTCTTATATTTGTTAATAAACTAGAATATAAAAAGCATATTATTTTCCAATGTTCTGAAAAATGAGTCTTCGCGTCACCATGGCATCGAGACGCGACCTCGCCATCATGTTAACTCCTTTGGCGTGGACATAAGACGTGGAGCTTGTTACGGGCCATGGCGCATTATCACGTAGGAGGAAATTTGCAATTTTTAAAAACTTGAATAAGAATAAATGTAAATATAACTTTATAGTTTTTACAGACCAAATACTTAATCAACGAAATGGGGAAAAAGAAAAAAACCTTAAATTACTTTTCAGCATGTGAAAAATATTGTTCGATTACTTTCATTTACTGTTCTTTGATTCCATTACTTCGATTTTGTTATTTGATTATCAAACATGGACTATAAACAGTGACTTACTTTGTATATATATCATATCATTTTTGTAAACTCTGCAAACCCTCAAATTACCAATTCATGGTTTTTCTTTTATTTATCGTTTTATATGAATTTAAATCGTTATTAACTTAATCATTATTGTTCAAGACACTGATATAAACATCAACACAAACACACACATACACATATATTATATAGATTTGCCACCTTAAACCACACCTTAGAAAACGTCATGGCCTCGCCATAACTCGTAAGACTTGAGATTTTTTTACCTTACCTCACGTTACGCCTCAGACCATTTATAACGTTGTTATTTTCTTGTCATCGTATCTTTTTCTTTTCTCATTAACGAATAAGAATCAATACACATCTTCCTTGTCGTCTTCATTCTTAAACAAGAATATTAGATGGTAAACTTTGTAAATTATTACTTAAATGTTCAAAATCTTCTTCAACAAATACTTGTTTATATTAATTAACATAATAAATTCAAAAATATGTAATTAAAACTAATGATAAAAATGAAAAGAAAAAACAATCACTAATTAATATAATCCAGAAAATTAATAACATAATTAACTGAAGAATGATTGTAGATACAATAATTAGAAAAATCCAAATCGTAGCTAGTCAGCGAAACATAAATCTATCATATCACGTACACTTCCCATATTTATTGTACCAAGAAGACTTGTTTTTCACCGACTTAAAGATGATGAAAACTCGTTTGAGGTTTCACTGACCTTGAAGGACCCCAACCAAAAACACTTTACTAACAAATTCAAATAATTAAAACGAGATTTATTTTACTAAATCACAAATTAGACGATTACCAATCGAATGATTCCTATCAATTATTGATGAACACAATAGACTTTAAAATCCGGAGTCTTCAAATCTATTGTCAAGATTCACTGAAAATTTAGAATTACAGAAAACTAAATCTTGATTTAGGCATTGTTTGGCAAAACTAAATCCAAACATGTACCCGAAAAATAAGCTAGCTTATACACTAACTTATTGAAATGCTACTTGGAATAGCGTATTGTCACTTTGTTAAATTATAACTCTCATTGATATATATTAATTATTATAATAAATATTAAATAAATTTAAACATTATTAATATTATTTACTAATGATTTACGATAATTA